AACCCTAAACCCCGAAGTCGCATTCAGCGCCGCTGTGCGTGGGTTTGGGGGTCGTGATCACAATGCCCAAGCTCCCGCGACCGCCGAAGTGCCAGTCGGATGCTCCCCAAACCTGGAGGCCATGGAACATGCTGGCTCAGGGCTTCATGGTGTGGTACAACATGATAATGATACTGTGCAGAATCGTACGCAGGCGGCGTAGACTCCAAGAAGCTAGGAGGGACAGGCATATCAGGTCAAATCGCAAACAGGCATGCTTCTGTATTCAAGCAAGCAAACAATCCAGCAAGCAAGCAAGCAAGCAAGCATGCAGGCAATAAGTGAGTAAGTGAGTAGGCAAGCAGGGCAGAAAGTAGCAAGTACAGCAAGTACAGCAAGTACAGCAAGTAAGCATACATGCATGCGTGTATGTACGTATACGTGACTGTAGCATGCACACGGACGGCTGGAAGATTTTGAAGTGTTCGCATGACCTGTTGCAACATGTTGTTTAGTAGGTCTGATATGGCTACATCGTGCATCAAGTCAAGTGTTGCAGGCTTGCAGCCGTTCGCGTGATAGTAAGTATGATATGCAGTGATTTCGGCATTCCATGTCTGCATATGCTTGCAGGTGCATTGGCGAAATACTCATGGAAATAGTCGCTTGAGCTGTTGCGGTGTAACGATGACGGAAAATGTGTGATGTGCATCTGTCTGATTGCCTTCTTGGAGGTTCATGGGTAGTTATAAGTAGGGCTATAAGTAGGGTAACTGTACTTATTGCAACGCTTATTAGGGGACGTATAACTCCACTTCTTATAACTACCCTAAACCCCAAACCCCTCAAAGAACCCTATTTATACTTGCCCTGAACCTCCAAGTACGGTCCAGTATTCTACGCCCGTTTCATGAGGCCGGGAGCCTTTTCCAGCGCTGTGCCCCATGCTTTCCAGTCCAGAAGCATGGAGGCTTGATCGCTGTTCGCCGGGATGTAGATTCCTTCGGTTCGGGATTAGTATCCGAATGATGGTTTCTGGTGGTTTAGGGCCTTTAACGATCAGGGTCCTTCAATGTCGCTGGCAGAGGTATCGAGGCTTTCGGGCCTCTTCTGCATCCCGAGAGATGTATCGCAGGACTTCACAGGTAAGTGGGAGAGGATGTCCAAGGAGTCGTCTTGGCAGCGCTGCATCATTGCGGCCTCTCCTACCATTGCCCAGAAGGCAGCCATGGCCCGGAAGGTGCTTTGAAAGCTACACTCGGGTGGCGTTGCCAGGGCCTCCTCTGTGAGGATGCAAGCCAAAAAGCTCGCGAAGATGCACCGGAGTGCAACACAGCTGCCAGGGCGCAAAAACGATAGGCAGAAAACAAACATTGCCTCCGTCACCACCGGCATAGCATTATCTTCATGACTATCATCATCATCACCATAACAACCGGCGACCACGAGAGGACGAGGAGGACCAGGACGACGAGTTCGAATGTTCAGACAGGACGAAGACGACGACGACGACGAACGCGACTGCAACTGCAACTGCTACCGCCGACTGGGGCATACTGCTCCCGCTGCTTCCGCTACTACTGCTGCTTCTGCTGCTGCTGCTGCTGCTGCTACTACTACTACTACCACCACCACCACCACCAGCACTACACTGCTACTACTACTACTCCTCCTCCTCCTCGTCCTCCTCCTCCTCCTACTAC